TATATATATATATTTTAAAGAAATCGATAATTAAATATCTTATTCATCCTTCGAAATTATGACACAAGGAAACAACTATTCAATCTGTCTATTAAATTTCTCCAAAAATTCATCGAGCAACCTCTTCTCCCATCCTCTTTAAATCTTCGTCGCAAACAACCTTTAATTTCTATAACGTCGTAAATAACGACAGAAAAATATATTCTTTTAACGGCACGGCGAGGGAAAAACAGCGCTATAAATTAATATTGCGAAACCACGTATCACGGTAGTTAGGCGCTGGCATACGGTACTCGGTGGATATTTTTCTTTGGAACAGGCGTCGAGGTCAAGGATGATGTGCTTTCAGAGGGAAACCGGTTCTCTGAAAGGAATCGCGGCTCGAATTCGCGTGGCAATCACCGATTCACCGGGTTACGTTACCCTGGAATCGTTCGCGAGTCATCGCGGAACCCTGGTGATTCCATTAGATCGTCCAATAATTCCATTAAACCGTATTCGTTTGCTCCAATCCACCGTGAACCAGGCATTTGCCTTGAATCTCTTTCGAGCCGCTGCATCGAGGCCAACAAATACAACGTAGATAGATAATTTGTATCGATCGAAAGTAGAAATTCGAGTAGAAATTTTCGATAGACTGAAAATTAATCAGAATTAAAAAGCAGAAATAAAATTATAGATAACAAGTTCGAAAATATTTTAATATATATTTTTTCCATCCTTAAATTGCTTATATAACTTAACGAACGTATCTCGATCGAGACATTTATGCTTTGGCATTTAAAGAATCGATCTTTCGAAGATATTCCACGAATATTAACGCGTTAATCGCGTGGAAAGAGCCTTGCCTCGTTCCTTTTGAAAAAAAAAAAAAAAGCATATTTGAATAAGTGTCTATAAATAAACCGACGTTCCTTTTTATTACGAGTTTTAACATCGCGTACATTGCGACTACGCGTAAAATTCCATACCAAATTTCACCAATAAAGAATAACCGACTATTCCTCTTCCGCGTGTAATATTCGAATTCCACGGAGGAAGGGAATAAAATGCTCGACACGGATTTATAAGCGACCATCGATAGTCTCGCGCGCGCGAACGACACCCCACAAGTTTTATAATTCAGAAACGGGGGCGAGGAGACGCGTAACCCCAGGAAACGTCGGCCGAAACGTGGACAGTCGCGTCTCGTCCACGTTAGGAATGCCGCCTAATGGGGCGCAATATCGTCGAGCAAACAAGTCGTTTCTCGAATAGCGGAAGGCCACTTGAATTTCCATCGTTCGTTCACCTCGTCCACGTTCCGCGTTCGTGTGCAGCGAAACCATTGTCTCCCGCGACACTCTCGAATCGAAATCGCGCGAATTAAAGCGTTCACGCGTTGGAACGAAATTCTACGACATTTCAATCCTGAATTTGTCCACACTTGACGAACTTTGCGCTCCTTCTTCATTCTCTGGGGACAGGTCTACGCACGTTTGAATATTTTAATCTCTGAATTTCATCGATTCTTAAAGATGAACAATCAATTACGATGAGATTGATATTGGTCAAAAATGGTTCGATATTGTAATTCGAAAATTTAATATTAATTGAATAATTCCTTTAATACTATAATTATCTTTAATTAAATAATTTTCTTCGACTTTTATCTCGTTAATTGTTATCCAAGGAGAAGAATTCTCCACGGATTGCGGTGTTCTAATGCAGTAGCATGCAGTCGCAGGTGATCATCCCGGGATAGGAATTTCGAATTCGAGTCAACGCACCACTGGGACTCGCTGTGTGGGAGGATATTTGGCCCTTTGACCATTCCTCCGCTTGTGTTGCCACGTTTCCAACCAAATTACGTAATGGTGATAAGCAAAGACATTTCCTGTCCTCTGCCCCAAACAACGAGAATCGTTATTCCGCCTGGAGGATATCCGCTATGAGCCATTATCCAGCTCGTGAGCGAGTCACATTTATGTTGTACTTCAACTCTGCCGGAAACTTACTCCTTTAGTTTCGAGATCTGATTTCAAGTAGTTTCTTCGACTCGTGATCTTGCCTCCGCGATAAGAAGCAGCGAGCATCACGTATCGTTCCATTTCTCGATTAATTCGAGGATACCAGTTTTTAGATGCAACGGAATTTTTCCTCGTTTTTAATTTTCACTCCTTCGTAGAGTTTCTTGAAAATGGGTTAAGAAACTTAACGTAGTTCTATCATCTTTGTGGATCAGTATTAAAAATTTATTAACGATAATTGACAATCTGACTCGGTTTGAATAAATTTACTTTCCAAAAGTATTATTCATCGAAAACAGGTGTCAATGATGTGTAATTTGAGAATGGATTAAGAAACTTAACATGGTTCCATCATCTTTGTGGATCACTATTAAAAATTTATTAACGATAATTTATAATTTGACTTGACGCTTGGTTTGAATAAATTTACTTTCCAAAAGTATTATTCATCAAAAACAGGTGTCAATAGGTATTTCGCTTACGCAATATCATTTTAAAACAATCTTCGTTAATCTTTCCAATTAAGTTAAATTTATCCAAACTAACAAAATTCTACTCAAAGTTTGCTCAAAGTTATATTTATTACATCCACACGGCGCACGAAAATTCGTTCGACCGAATGAACCTCTGTTTATCTTCAACACGCATTCGCGCTCCATCATTTACCGGTCTCCTCCATTTATACAAGATCCACAATCGAAATCGGATAACGACAGCTCTTCACCCTCCAACCTCTTTTCCAATCTCCTTCAAGATTCTTCTGAAACAAGCGATAAATAATCTCCGCTGTATAAAATTCTACAGATCTAGAATGATAAGCAATGATACAAAATATAACAAATTTCTTGGAAAATGGAGAATCACAAAATTCAATCAGTGATATCTTTTCGAATTCTTCTTCGATTCATCCTTAAGTCGAACGCGGTTATATCTCTCCTCAAAATTCCACGAAGCTATCTATTATCTCCTCCCTGAGAATTATTCCTCATTTCGTGGTATGCGCGGATCATTGCACAGACTATACACCATTATTAACATTCCTCTCGAGCCAATTTCTTCCATTTTTCACCAAGAAAAGAAGAAGCAACAGCGGTACATCGTTGCACGGAATCGTCAATGACAAATCTCAGTTATTACACGCCAATAATTTCGTCCTTTTTTTTTTTTGGAGGCGTTAATTCGACTATTTCGCAAAATACTCGAGTTCTGGCCGTCCTCCAACCGCAGTAGACACGGGTCTTTCTATAGGAGAGCGTAAAGGCCGAGGCGAGTAAAAGGCGCCGCCTTGAACGGTTGAGTGAAAGGAAGCTCTAGGAGAAAAGAGAGAGAGAGAGAGAGAGAATGGCTCGTAGGAAGAGATAGATGCAGGAAGACGGTGAACCGCTTGTCCTCAAAGCTGGAATGCCGGAGGCGTTCGTATACGTACGCCTGATAATGCAACCACCGACTCTCGTTATTCGTCCACCATCGGAGAATCTTGTTTATTTTGACCGCCAAATTTCCGCTGATATCGTTTCGGTTTACTTTTCCGCTTCGTTTTAGGATGACGATCATCTTGTGGAATTAAATTAGAAGATATTGCGATTTTTAAGATTTGTAGGGTTTGTTCGAGAAGAATTTGGACAGTGAGTGAACGATTGCACGAGAAATTGTGCATTAACAGTAAGAAAGGGGTACTCGAATATCAATTTTTATCATTGTTGTTCTTGTTCTTCAATGATGCAAATTTGTGTAGGTTTGAATTAGAATTTTGAGCAATAATTGTAATTTGTCTCAAAAGTATCTTGATCGAGTGTGTATTATAACGAAGAGAAGGGATTTGATTAACTATTGAACAATTGTAGATATACTCGAGCAACACTTAAAATTTAAAACTGAGAAATGAATTTAAGATAAGATAAATTTATGTGAATGTATTTGACGAAAAATATCGAAGATTGATTAAAATTAATTCTCGACAATATTTGAACACAATTCTCAAAATTTTGATAAAAGTAATTTAGTTAATCACATTTCAAAATTTTCAATTATGAGAAACGAGATAAATAACAGGGAATCCGTGTACGAATTTCTCATTTAAGAAGAAAACCGCATTATACGATTCTGAAGGCTGTCTTTTGCTCGAAATAACTATAATTCGTCATGGTAGATACATTCCGATTAGCTGGTGCTCGTTAATACGCTGGCCAATATGGCCAGTTATCGATCAAGGTCTGATGAAGACGCGTGTTCGATAATTCTGAATTTAAAGAGACGCAGTTACGATTGCGTAGACGGCTATTTATAACACGGCGAGGAACAACTCGTGATGAAATCGAACACATCGAATGCATTCTTTTTTTATTGCATCGTATCCATTCGTCATTTTTATCCAATTAAAAAGTTTCGATCAAGGTGGAGGTCTGGTTAAATCTGGACGAAAACAAATTGATCGATCCCGGATTAAAAGTGACAATTTGCATGCAATATTTATTTCGTTGAATAATTGATCAATTTTTGATTGGATTAATTTTAATCGAATTTTTCCACGGTGAATTATTATCTCTATGCCTGAATGAAATTTTTGACATCCACCCTTTTTCATTTTAAAGTCTCGATCGATTTTTCGAAAATGGCGTATACATTTATTAAATTCAATAGAATTTTTAAAAAAAAAAAAAAAAATTAACTTCTCGATTCGTGCAATCATAGACAAACTTTTTTTCCCCAAAATTCTCATAATTTCGATACACGATTAATCTTACCATTTATTCGATCCTAAAAGAATTGATGATGATCTTAAAATATCTATCTCTACGTAATTAAATTAAAGTTACATCCACGCTTATAAAAAGTTTACGATATGTTAAAGAAAAAGTATCCTCCCCGGATAAAAGATTTCAATTTTTATTACTTTGGACGATCGTCCAACCCGATTTCCAATAAAGTTTAATTCACTAGTAACCAACGAACGACGAGAATCATAAACACGTTTTACGTTTCTGATTGCAGAACATCCTGGACAAGTTCAACCCGGGGGCCAGGCAGCTGATCAACGCCGGCAAGGCATATTTGAAAGCTCTTCATGGTGAGTGAATTAAATTGAATGTTTAAGGGAGGGGAAGAGAAGGGCGCGGATCAGGATTGCCTGGAACAAAAAGGCGGGGAAGTTAGCGAGACAAATAGCGACAGGAGGACGATCGTCGATGTGTCGGGGGTGGAGCAGGGTTGAAATGAAGAAAGAAAGGACAAACGATGGTGGGGCGAGGTTTATGCCCTCTCCTGAGTCCTGTTTCGGAATCGAATTGTCAGCTCGTCACAATTGCACACTGGAGGGGTGGCTGTGCCTCTATTCCTGTTTCTCCCGTGTCTTGCTTCCCTTTTTTCCTTTTATCGACGATCGATCGATCGATCGATCTCTTCTCTTCTTTCGTCGAACCTTAGACACGCAATGAATAAACAGGCTCATCCCTTGGTAGCTCGTTCAATTAAGAATCATTCTTGCCAAGCTAAGGTTTTTTATTTTATTTTATTCTTTGGATCGATCGTCGATGAAATGGAGGTGGAATTTTCATTTTTAATTTTCAAGAAAAATCTAATCGAAATTCGATTGAATTTAGAAAATGTCGCGATCTCTTGAGACGAGAAGTAAAGAGAAAAATGTAATCGTTATAATCCATTTAGTTTTCTTTACGATCTAATCAACTTGAATTACCAAGCCAAGGTATTTACGGTATGCAAATACCTTTTATGTACACTTCATCAATTTTCTAATAGAGATTAAAGGAATTCGGTTATTCAATGGGATTCTTAAAGAGAAACTCTATTTCTCCTTATAAACAAGAATTAATTGCCACTTATGTTTCTTTCGATTTAATTGGAACGAATTTCCAATATTTCATTAAAGATTCACGAACATTAATCACGATGCTTTCGCGTATATTTATATATTCCCTCGAATCTCTTTCATAAAACACAAAAGAGACCACTATTCCATGAAAAATAATACGAAGAACAACATGTGATTCACGAGATTCAAGGAGGAAAAAAGAAAAAAACAAAAGAAAGAAAGAACAAAAATATCACCAATCTTCGTTCCTCCATTTTCGTTCCTGCATTTTTGCAACGATCGATCGTTTTCGAGAATTAACCCACTGACCTTGAAAGAAATCCCGCAGCTAGGCTTCGGCCAAGGTGAAAAATGTGTGTCGCCCGCATTATCATCGGTGAGATTAATCCTCGATGCTGTTCGAACGTACGTGAAAACATAACGGAACTCGAAATTGTTGGCGTTGTGCAAAACGTGTGCAGTACTCATTCACGCTTAATTGTGCGTTTGATGACAGTATCGTATTTTTCACATCACCTCTCTCGATTATCAACAACGTTGAAGTAACAATTTGCCGCATAACTTTCTTCTTTCTCTTTGCTTTATTATTCCGAAAATCGTAATTAATAGAAAAGTAAATATCATTCGACACTGAAGAGAACAAATTGTCAAGTTTTTGCACTTGTGAAATTGATTACTGGAATTGGAAAAATTTAAAATATATTTACAAAATTTTCCTTTTGCGAATCTAAACATTATCAGATGTTTAAGTTTAGTTTAAATTTTTACTTCTTACTTATTTGAAAATTGTGTCTCGATGAATCCTGGATACAACGTTCTAAAATTTTTACTCGTACAACAAAATGGATCCAAACTTATACCCTTTAAATCATCACTTATCACTCAAATCTTCAAAACGGTACACAAAACACCTTTCAAAACCAAAAGATTTCAAGGCTAAATACCTTTCCATCGACGATCAAACTGCTAGAAAATAGACCAACGAAAAACGCATCTAACCACGCGGCAATCGGCGCGTTTTATTATCCCCCCGCGCAAAAGGAAGACGGGAAGCAGTTTTTCAACCTGTTAAAAAATTTAGCGCGACCTCAAAGACAAAATTCCCTCAAAGACCGCGCTTGAAACGGATACCAGCGAATAGGAGTCATCCAACGGGGAATATTTGGCAAGCAGGCGATACAGGGGGCCCATCCCCGTTACACGACACAAAGGGCGGCCATTGTGTCCCCTGTGATTTCTCTCTCTCTCTCTCTCTCTCTCTCTCTTTCCTTCCTCTT